AATTAAAAAAATAAATGAATGAGTAAATAAAATAAATAATTACTTAAAAAAAAGAATAACTAGTAGTATGGAGGAGGGAAGTTGCTGACTGTGTCACTAGGCACCATGGAAAGGGAAAGGCTTTTGGTAGGATGGGAATTCAAATCACTACTCTGTCAATAGAATAATGAAGAAAAGATATTTAATCTCCTTGGTCTCCAATTTTCTCGACCATAAATTGAGGATAATGATGTCTACTTCTCAAGGCTGTTGTAAAGACTCAGTGGAATAGAGGGTGTAATGAATTATATCATATGGGTTCAATTTTAATCTATTTAGAATAAGACAATGAAACATCTACCATTACCATGGTGAACTGAGGGACAGTTCTAAATCCTAATAGCCAAGAATGCTGTTGTGTTTTTCTCAGGTTTTGAAAGTTATTCATTCCTACTTACTAAGTACAACAAACTATTCCTTTTATTATTTCTATCTTAATGTCTGATCCAGCTTATTCATAATAGAAGTTATCCTGCTTCTATAATACCACATTCTCTGTAAATACCTGCCTTATTTTATCCTAAGTCCTTATAATATTAGGAAAAGGGTCCTCAGGTCACATGCTGGACTGTCTAGTATTTATATGCAGATGGTCCTTCCTCCCCTGCCCCTTAATTTGTCAGAGGGCACATATGCTCACTAGTGAGAGAGATAGGAGAGAGGGAGAGGGAGAAAGCACCACTCAGTGCAGCATGGTCATGTTGCAATCTCTTCTCCTCCATTTCTCCATCCTGTCAAGATCTGGGGCACCCATGCACCCATTGGGCCAGGATTTGAACTGCATGCATGGCAATGTAGGACCCAACTCTCTTAACCACTAGGCCACGGGGTTGCCCTTATATGCAGACTTTGAGCAGAGGTCCTGACCTTAGTCGTGTCATGGATTTCTCTGAGGATCCAGTGAAAGTTATAGTCCCTCTCCCCAGAAAAATTATCATGTGTGTAGAATTTCACATATAATTTCAAATCATCCAAGACTCTGTTGAAACTCATTTCATGGACAGAGGTTACAAACCCTTGCCCAAGGGCCAGTGGGTAATATAGTGGTTAAGGCACTGGACTACCACATGACTGACTGCAGTTTGAGTCCTGGACCCAGCAGCTTGAAACTCACTCTGGACGCATGTGTGTGCATGCCCAAAATCCCAAGAGGAGAATGGACAAGAAGGGATTGTGGTGTGGACATCCTCCCTGGGTGGTAATTTCTCATTTTTTCTCTCTCTGTCTCTGTCTCTCCAGTGAGAACATGGGGCCCATAACAAAAATCTCTCTCAAAAACAAACAAACAAAACAAAACAAACAAACAAAAACCCTCGTCCAGTGGTTGTAGTCACAAGAACCATTCCTTCTTTAATCCCTGATAATATTTGTTTATTATTAGTAGTATAAAGTAATACTCTTGTCATTCTGAGAAGTTTTGTACTTTTTTTACTTAAGTTTGTTTTTCTGTTGTTTTGTTTTGTTTCCCTCACTGACCAAGAATAAAGGCATTTAGAACAAGTCTTACAGAATTTATTTTGTAACTCATCCTCTGAACGCAATCAGTAGCCAGTCTGTGGGGCAACCACACTGACACTGAACAAACCATTGTTCTAAGACTCACTAAGGTCATCCAAGTCCTGAGCACATATAAATCCCCATAGTTTCCACATTAACAGGACAACTACTACAAAGCACAGGCTAAAAATAGGCCCAGCCTAGTGCATAGAGGCACTCCCCAAAGGTACATTTCCCACTCCAAGGGTCTTAACAACACTATTCACTCTCCAAAGAGAGATACTATGCTGAGCAGGAAGAAGTCCTTTCATTTTGAACAAGCTAAAATACAACCAAAGGAACTATAAAAACTTGAAAGTGTTTAAAGACTATTATCTGCACCTGTTAGTTCTTACTCTAAAAAAAGAAAGACCAAAATACTCCAGGATTAGGTTGACTTTCTTTGTCTTTTAGGTTGCATTCTACGAAAGAAAAAATTATGGCATTTCCCTCTTTCTTTTTCTAGTTCAACATTTTTCTACCTAGGAGTTGGAGTTGTTCGAACAGAGCAAGCCATTAATAAATACCTACCAACAAATAAATAAATAAATAAATAAATAAATAAATAAATAAATAAATAAATAAATAAATAAATAAATAAATAAATAAATAAATAAATAAATAAATAAATAAATAAATAAATAAATAAATAAATAAATAAATAAATAAATAAATAAATAAATAAATAAATAAATAAATAAATAAATAAATAAATAAATAAATAAATAAATAAAATACCTACCAAAATACATAAGAATATACATATCAGGAAGGAGTGAGATGTGAAGCTAAACATGGAAAAATATTTACAGTTCCATTCCCAACAGAAAATTTATCATTTAAGGTAGCTAATCTTTGTAGCTAAAATAGCTAAGTCTTCCAAAGATCATACAGAACAAATTTTTTTTCTAAGTAAAATATGATCAAGGGTTCAATTACTGTTTGATGTAATGTAGCATCTTGTGAATAAATATCAATATTACACATGTGGTTTAAAAGGACTTGTATAAAAATAAAATCATTTAAACACAAAATTTTAAAATCCAAATTCATACAACTCTATAGATTTTACAACATTGGGGAAATGAAATAAATATATAGGAGTTATGCTAACAACTGCAATGGAAATATCCAGCACAGACAGTCCAGGAACACGGATATTTAAATATAATCCTTCTTAAATACCAGACAGCTGCTTTCCTAAATAAGGTTCTTAAACATATCTACGGAATATGTTCAGGTGAACAAAATGATGCTGTCGCACACACATGGCACACACATGGTGAAAATTCCTCCCAACTTGTCTTTAGGAGGCAGTTCACTTGAAGCAATTGCTAAAAGAAATGAATTCACTTCAGTGAATGTGTCCGTATTTGCAGCCAATGCAAGGTCCTTATGAATACTCCATGGCAGAATATGACCTATGAAAGTGAGATTGCAAAATGATCCCGTTTCATTTTAAATGGAATTTCCCAGTGTTGCCATCGTAGATTCCAGGTGAACCTAAGCAGGCTCTGGCTCTGTTACTGAGCATAGCACAAGTTCCCCGGAGATCACGGTCACGGACCAAACAGCCGCCGCAGACCAGGCACTACTCAAACCCAACCAGGATTCAGAAAATCCCTCACTCCCAGTCATGCAGACCATTCTATTATTTCCTCAGTAACTTTCAGATTCTCAGAGATAAATACTTTTTTCAGGTGCCCTAACATATTTTTGTGGACTTAAGTTTAATAAGACTTAAAATTATAACAAAAAAATGTAACCCACACCAGATGCTTTGGAGAAGAGGATTAGAGGCAACAGGTGGCTATTTATTACATAGGTAGGAAAAGTCTATGTATGGAATATTAGCAATTCTTTCTATGAAATATAGATTTTTAATAAAAATCACATGTACCTCAAAAGTGCTTAGCAGTTTTTTTCCTAACAGAGCACATGTACACACATGAGAAGACAGAGAGAAAGGACCTCTCCCCAAGATGGGGCCAAATCATACTGCAATCCCTTTTCTTCCATTTTCCCGTCCCATCAGGATTCTAGGCATGTACACGCATGTACCACTGTGTCAGTGCCAGGGCTAAGATTCGAACCGCAGTTGGCCATGTGGGATGCAGCCTCTTCTGCTCAGCATTTAGCCACTATAGTATGGAGCTGGCCCACGAGGACTTTTTGATCCCAGGAAATATTTCATTTTGAATGAACAAATAGAAATCGCCTTGGATGGAGAAAGCAAATGTCTACTCGAGATCCATGAAATGGAACAAGATACAGAAAAGCCAAGTGCAAAATTAATAGGAACCAACATTTTTCCCAGGGACACTACTGTTTACCATGGTAACCACCTTTGAAAGATTACAGACTCAGTGAGAAATGTTTTTCTCTAATATTAAAGGCTATCACTAAGTATGCTGTTTGAAATTACTCAGTCAAAACAAGTCATCTTACCCTTGACTTTTAGTCACTTGTTGATACAGAGAAGCAACTTCAATGACCAGGACAGATAAAAGGCTCCAGGTAAGGGGCTTTTGATGAAACAGTCCTCATTTACCCTAACTTTATTATTTCTATAGAAACAAGACCCTGGGTTTGTTGTGCAGAACAGACTTGCATCTAAACTCTACTCTTCCTAAAATCCTAAACTCTCTCTTCCCTGCTAGTGTATAGTCTCCTTCATTGCATTGAGTCGATAAATCTAATTTTGTTGGAATACATCTTGTTCCTATTATTCTTACACACACCGATAATGCCATGTTTTGATGATATGCTCCAGTGAAAGAAAATGCCTGCCACTGGAATAACAAGTCAAGATTTAAGTACTGGCTGTCAGATACTGAAAAAATAGAAAATGTTTCTGCTGTAATGTGACCTGTGAATTTTAAATTCTATACTGGCTTCTCATTTAAGCAGAAACATTCTGAGGCCCAGAAAACCTGCTGGAATGTTAAAATGATATTTTCTGGTTCTGCTGCTGTAAAGTAACTCTCCTTTTGGAAATATCATAGATGGCAACCCAAATAAGCCCTGCTAGTGTGATTATGAAACTTTGTGAATCTCAGAGAGGCAATAAAGGAAAATAGGTAGATATAGGTCTCAGGTCTCCGAAAACATGTTCTCTCTGCACAGCCAGTGTAAATATAGGGTGGCGATGTTTAAGAAGAAAGGACAAAGTGACTTGAGAGGGTTATTCAGAACACATGATTCTTCTCTAAGGTGGAAAGAGGAGGCCAGCAAATGGCTTGGTAGTTAAGGGCACTGGACTCCCACATGGCCTACTACAGTTCAAGTCCCAAACGTGGCGGCTTGCTTTCTCACTTTTCTCTCTTTCTCTCTCTGTCCCTCTCTGGTCAAATTCAAATAAATAAATAAAGCTAAATAAAGCAATTAAAAGAGAAAAAAAGGTGGAAAGACTGCTTTTGACCTACCCATGGGAGTAACCATAATCATAGGCTGAGGCTGCTTTCCGACTGACTTCAGATCCAAGGGAGTACTGTGAGGCTGCCAGACTGTAGGCCTGAGAGGCCTGCTGCTGGAAGGATGCCTGACTGATGGCCTCTGATTCCTGGCGGTGTGCGGCGGAGGAGCGGCTGCTGTAGGCTGTAGAGCCATGTGTGTAGATGGCAGAACGCTTCTTCTCCTGCTGGTACTGGCTCATGGAGGTGCGAAGGTCCTTGCTGCGGTAGCTATGATCATAGTGCTCATGAGATTTCTGATAAAAAGGCAAAGACATCATGTCTTTGAGAAGCAGGCAACCTACAAGAAAAGAATAATTTTTGAGTGAATCGGTAAGGAACAAATTCAATAGAATAAGTCATTTAAATCATTGTGAGGAAAGACATTTATGGGACACAGAAATGGATTCTTATCTGTTGATGATAATGTGTATAATATCCTCAACTGGACTGGTGTGAAGTATATTCATGTTGGGAAAATTCACTTTACAGGCTAAGTGATGTATAGTTACTGAATGTATAAAATAAATTAAAATAAAATATATTTTTAAAAAAATAAGTTGATACTTCTTTTCCAAAGAGTAAATGGGAAAGGATGTGAAGTTTAGCTTAGCTAGTAATTCAACAAACCCCCTGCTTCATAGCCTAGATGTCTCCCTTCCTGTCATTGTGCCTTTTTTTTTTCTTTATATCTAGGAGGTCTTTACAGAATTTTCCCAGCATGGCTATTTTGCTTTTTCTTCAGGCCTTTCATAAAACACATTTCTAATTCTCTGGTATTTCATTCTGATCGAGGCTTCATCTGGTAGAATATATAATGATTGAGAGTAATGTGGGTTTCGTTCAGCAAATAATTAATCAGCATCTATTATGATTTTGGAATTATTCCAGTACAGGAAATACAGTGAACAGTGCAAATAAAATCCCTACTGACTTTATATAGAACATAATAATCTACTGCCAGAGGTAGGCCATAGAGGGCCAGCCAGTAGCTTGATGGTTAAGGCGCTGGATCCCACATGGCCAACTGCACAGTTTGAGCCTTGGACCCTGTGGGTTGAAAAACACACTAGGCATATGTGCATGCATGCCCTAAATCCTATGAGAACAGTCGAGGAGAAGGGATTATGGTGTGGACATTCCTTCTGATGGGTGCTTTCTTGTTTTTCCTCTCTCTTAATCTCTCTCTGGTGAGCACATGCACCATGTAGCAAAAATTAAAGAGAGTGAGACAGACAATAGAGAAAACAGATAAGTAAAGTATGAGATGTATTACAATGTGCAAAGTGCCATGGAGAAAAATAAAGCTGGAAAGTGCTAGGGGGCATAATTCTAAAGAGCTTAATTGGGGGGTTTCACTGGAAAGTGACATCTATGCATGAGAATATCTGGGGGAAGAGTGTTTTAGAATGTTCTAGAAGTAAGGTCAGTGCAAAGGCACTGAGGAATGAGCATATCTATTGTGCTCCTAGATAGATAAATTAGCCAGTGAGGCTGCTAGGGTTGGGGAAGTGATTAAGTACAGGAAATGATGTCAGAGAGGTGAGGGGCATGCCTGGGGAGAGAATGAGCAGATGGTTTAGGGTCCTATAGGCTGTAAAGACTTTAGCGTTTACTCAGAAAGGGTTAAAAAGCAATTGGAGGACTGACCTCATAGCACAGTGGCTAAGGGAGCTGGATCCCACATGACCAACCACAGCTCAAATCCTGGCCCTGGTAGCTTGAAAGAAAAGCACACTGGCCATAAGTGCATGTGTGCATGCCTAGAATCCTGACAGGATGGAGAAATGGAGAAAAGGGGATTGTGGCATGGCTGTGCCCTACTGAGGAGTGCTCCTCTCTCTCTCCCTCTCTCTCCCTCTCTCTCTCTCTCTCTCTCTCACTGCCCTCCCTTTCTCTCCAGAGAGTACATGTTTCCCTAACAATAACAACAACAAAAAAGCCATTGGAAGGCTCTGAGTTGAGCATCAATATCTGAAGTGACAGTTGGGAGATCAATTAGAAGGTTGTTATGAACTGAATTGGTCCTCTCCCCCCAAAATTCATATGTTGATGATATGTGATATGAGGTACCCTCAGTACCTGAGAATGTGACTGTGTTTGGAGACAGGTCCCTTAAAGAGGAAATTAAGCTAAAATGAAGTCATTAGAGTGGACCGTAATCCAATATGACTGGTGTCCCTCTAAGAAAAGGAAATTGGGACACAGAGCTGTACATATGACAGAGGAAAAACTTACAAAAACACACAGAGAAGATGTCCATTTACAAGTCAAGGTGAAGACACAGGAAAAGCCAACCCTGACAATACCTTGATCTTGAATTCCCAGCCTTCAAAATTGAAAGGAAATAGACTGCTGGTAAACCGCTCAGGCTGTAGTATTTTGTTACGGTGGCCCTAATGCAAGTACAGAGACCACTGCAATGGTCCAGGCTAAAGATGACAGCAGTAAGCACTGGCAGGTGGGAAGTGGTCAGTTAGTCCTAATAGCATTTCTTGAAAGCTCTGATTTAGGATGTGAAAGAAAAGGAGTGATGTGAGACAACTCCAAGGTTTTTGCCTGAGCGACTGGAAGATTGAAGTTGTTGTTACCTGGGATAAGAAGGAGTAGGAGAAGGCGTCAGTTCAGGATGGAAGACCAGGAGAGTGGTCTGAATGTCTGCATTTGAGATGCTGTTTGACCTCCAAGTGGAGATATTAAGTAGGAAGTTGAATATGTGACTCTTGGGAGCAAGGACAGCTTTGGGATGACAATTTACATTTGGCAGACAACAGTATAAAGGAGGTATTGAAAACCAGGAAAACAAATGAGAACAATTGTAAATGGAAAAGTTCTGGAATTGAACCCTGGAATATGCTAGTATTATCACATAACACACTCTCTCACATCTCAGAAATACTCTAAAAAAGGTACAATTTCAAACCGGAAAAATTATTTGCTCCACTAAAAATAAGAAGGCTTCAGGACCAGCAGTTGGTGTAATGGCTATGTCACTGGACTCCCATGTAGTCAACCACAGTTCGAGTCCTGGACCGGGTGACTTAAACTCACAGTGGGCGCATGTGCATGCATGCCCAAGATCCTGAGAGGAGAATGGAGGAGAAGGGATTGCAGCATGGCCATCCCCCCTGTGGAGGGAGGGGGGTGATTTCTCTCTTTCTGTCTCTCTGTCTCTCTCCATCTTTCTAGTAATTACGCAGGCCCTATAGCAAAAATCTCTCCAAAAATAAATAAATAAATAAATAAGAAGGCTTCTGGGCCAGAACTAGCAGATGGTGTAATGGCTATGTTGCTAGACTCCCATGTAGTGGACCAAGGTTCAAGTCCTGGACCTGGCAGCTTAAAACTCAGGTTGAGCGCATGTATGTGTGTGTGTGTGTATGCCCAAAATTCTGAGAGGAGACTGGAGGAGAAGGCATTGCAGCATTACCATCCCCTCCCAGGGCAGGGGGGTGATTTCTTGCTTTCTCTCTCTCTGTCTCTCCAGTGAGTGTATGAGCCCTATAGCAAAAACTTCTCAAAAAAAAAAAAAAAAAAAAAGGAAAAAAGGAAGGAAGGAAGGAAGTAAGGAAAGAAGAAAAACAAAAGAAGACTTCTGGGTCAGCAGTGCTGAGGCGGGTAAGGTGTTGGACTCCCATTTGTCCAACTGCAGTTTGAGCTCTGGACTCAGTGGCTTGAAAATCACGTCAGGCACATGTGCATGTGTGCCCAAAATCCCAAGAGGAGAATGGAGGATAAGGGATTGGCGCGAGGGCATCTTCCAGGGGGTGATTTCTCACTTTCCCTCTCCTTTCCCTCTCAGAGAGGGAAATGCACATTCACTATGGCAAAAACCTTTAAAATAACACAAAAACAAGAAAGCTATTAGTCTCCCTAATAATACTTAATATTAATTTTTTTTTTTGGAGAGGCTTTCGCTATAGGGCACGTGCACTCACCAGACAGACAGAGAGAGACACAGAGACAGAAAGCGAGAAATCACCCCCCGGGGAGGATGGTCATGCCGCAATCCCTTCTCCTCCATTCTCCTCTAGGGATCTTGGGCATGCACGCACACACGCCTGGCGTTGAGTTTTAAGCCACCGGGTCCGGGACACGAACCACGGTCGACTACGTGGGAGTCCAGCGACACAGCCATTACGCTAACTGCTGGTTCCCAATACTTAATTAAGTGATAAGTGGTGCTGTGAACTTGAGCTAAAAATTCTACTAAAAGTCAAAGATATGTTTTTTAACGTAGGTAAGGGAGCTAACATTGCATTAGCTTTCTTGAGCGATCTGTTCATTAACAAAAGGCCTATCACTGCAAGGACAGTTTTGGATGAAGTAGTAGTTTCATAGAAGTTCCTTCCTCCACTCCAATTTTTTAAATGCTTTTGTGCATGTTCTGAAAGATTATTTTTACATTTTATAAATAAAATTAGTTTGGAAGTAATCAGTGTTTTCCAACTCTTGCTTTTCTTAAAAAAATTCTAAATGAAAATGAATCTTTCTAAACTTGCCATGTTTTCTGTCAAGTTTAAAGCTACTTTTTATTTAAACCGCTTTAAAAGTCAGCATATATCCCCTAGAGAAGAAAATTCAGCAAACTTCACTGTGGAAATATTTATCTTAGTGCTCATGGAAGATATCAGTCTACGTGGCATTTCCTAAGAGGAAAAAAATAGCTTCTAGCAAGCAACTTTGCTTCAACCCTTAAATAGATGACTATTTTCTGTTCTTAAATATACAGAATAGTTATTATACATACTGAACAATTCTTAAGAGGATTTCAATAAAACAAAAGGTTAGGATATATTAATATAGATTTACATTAAGCAGTTACAAATAGATAAGTTTCTGTAATGATATATACTACATTGTAACACAACAAATGTTATTTGAATGACTTCCAAATAAATAATAAAGGAACTTCCTATATATTATGTTATAAGCAAAATTCACTACCAAGATGATTTTAGTTGCTGCTGTTTTCAAAAAATAAATCTTTAAATATCTTGCCCCAATTCAATTTTCCAGTCTCTTTTCCACTAATAGATTTATTTTTAGCAATACTTAATATTCCATGCACAGAGACAGTATATTACAAGTAAACAGGGTTTGACTTTAAGTCAACAGAGCTGGTTGTCACAGCACTGACCTCTAGAACAAAGGTACAACTACCTCCTCTTCATCGAGTATGCAAGGATTCTCCCCAACATATGACAGCTGGGGTTTGTTGGGTGAAAAGATGGTTCTGTTGTCTCTGTTCCCTTAAGACCTAAATTTTATTTCTGAAATTAATTGGGAAATTTAAGAAGAAATTCAAACTCTGTAGTTGTAATCTTGATATGATTGTTTTTGTCCTGGCATTAAATTCTGAAAGCTGGTGAAAACGATCCACAGAAGATGTTAAATTTAGGATCATTATGTGGAAATCTACTTTGCCTTTGAAATATTAACCATATTTAGGTTATAAATATAATGCACTCCTATGTTTGTCCACACTGAATTTTTAGAGCAAAAACCACTGAATTATAAACTAGAACTTCAGAGTTAATTTGCCTCCTTTTGGTCTAATTCGTAAGCAGGGAGTTTACAGGCACATGGAGGAATGAAAACACAGATTTTCTGTCCCTTGTCCATTTCAAATTCTAACCAAACCATTGAACTATACCTTGGAGAGTATTTAACTGTAAGTTAAACACTCTTACAGTTCAATGTGAGACAAATACAAGTAACCGCCTTAGAGTTCTAGGAACTGCAGCTTAATTTTAAAAGAATATAGTGATACAAGAGAATGGCTGTGCCAGCCCAGACCGGCACCCTGCTGTTCTGGTTTCCTTCCCAGGAGCTTCACTTTTCCATTTCTCTGCTATTCTGATATCTCTTTGAGAAAACTGCTGAGCTCAGAGGATAGAAAGAAACTGCATACACATCAGTGCTGCTAAGCACATAAACTCCCAAGTACATTCTTCTGCCTCAATGTCACACTTACCAGTTTCCAAAGGAGTAACAGTAGTGGAAATGTTCTGATGTGGCTGAGAATCTGGTTGAGAGAATGAAAACTCCACCTAGGTTGAATCCAAGAAAAAGTTAAGAGGCAGGGCTAAAGACAGGACCCTGGGGGCCAGTTCAAAAATAATGCATGTGGTCAGGCAGTAGAATGTCAGGGCCACACAGCCAGCCTTTTATGGCCAAGTAGGCAGATAAATATAGCAGCAACTGGGGAGGGTAGTCCCAAACCAGAAGGAGGAGAGAGGCCAGAGCAGGTAGCTGCCTCAGTAATGGAATTACATTAATGCCAGTCAATGGGTCTGGCCTGATTAAAACCAAACACAGGATTTTTATTTGGCTATAAGAGCTATTTTCAATATTGCTTTGTCACTAGATATTTTAAAGTGTAATGGAAAGAGAGGTTTGTGTTGAGAGCTAAAAATAGGAGTGGTAATCTGATTCTTAAAATGGACTTCATGGAATTTTAATGCCAAGATATGGTTCTGGGTGTGCTGTTCATAACACATGTACAGTACATTGAAAAGATATAAAGGAAAAAAAGAACTTGAAGTTAACGAAAGTTGAGCAAGCAATGGATTGCAGTGGTGACATATTTGGTCTGATTACACACAGTAACTATTTCTCATTTCAGGAAAATTTAAAGTCACAGCTTCAAGTCTGAATACTTGATTCTCTGTTTATTAACTAACGCCTTTTGAAAAGTCACTCAATACGCTATTGTTTCTTACTCAGAGTAGGTTCAGTCTATTTAACAAGAAGTTCTTTCTTTTCTCTTTTAGATCTATGTAACTAATTAAGTGTTATAACCTGGTAGGTAGAGCCTACACCATGGATTCAGAGCAGATCTAGACTCCAGCTCATAATGTTTATGAATCTATAGTCATGTAACCTGAAGCAACTTATTTCTCCTTCCAAAACTTCAGTTTTTTCCTCCAGGTACAGCTGGAGCACCCCAATCTAAAAATCTGAAATGCTTCCAACTCTGAAACTTTTTGAGCACCAATAAGATACCATAATGGGAAATTCCACAACCCTCATGTGATGGGTTGCCGTTAAAATGCTGCAACAGGCTCACCTTTGATGGTGCAGGTGGTAGCATACAAAGCTGCAGTGATGGAAGCCACATGGTTAACCTCAGGTTTGGTTTCCTCAGGTTTCAGTAGACCTGAAACACACTCAAGATCCTGACTAGCTGGAGAGCTAGGGAAGAGGATTGTACCTTAACAAGACCCTGTTGAGGCTTCATGTCTTTCTCTCTTACATACTCTCTTGTGAAAGAAAGAAACAAAGAAAAAGGAAAGACAATGCTGCACTATGAAAATATTTGGGCTATATGAAAAGGTATTTATGAAACATAAATGAATTTTGTGTTTAGGCTTGAGCTTCATCTCCAAGATACCTTATTATGTATATGCAAATATCTCAATCCAAAATAATTTAAAATATGAAACACTTCTATTGCCAAGCATTTTGGATAAAGGATATTCAACCCATAATAATATGCAAATTATAGCATTGCTGTGGGGTTTTTTTAAGAATTAATTTATTTAACTTTATTTATCTATTTATTTAATTTTTTGACCAGAGAGGAATAGATGAAAGAGAGAAAGAGAGAGAGAGGGAAAGTGAGAAAACAAGCCAACAGGTCCAGGGCTCAAACAACAGTCAGCAATGTGGGAGTCCAGTGCCCTTAACCACCATGCCACCTGCCTGCTCCAGGGTTGTTGTGGAGATTACATGTGGTAAACCAGATAAGGCACTTAACCTAGTAACTGTCACATAATAAAGACATAGTAAATATTGTCGACGGAAAACAATTAACTCTAAAATAATTAATAATTAATAATTAATGTAGTTTATTTCTAAGTAGAATATGAGAGACTTAGGCCTGGAGAGGAGGCAAACATGCCTTTCTCAGGGTGACAAGGTACTTTTTAAATTTTAGAAGTAGCTTCTGTGTTTTGTTTTGTTTTTTGAGACAGTCTTAAATTTATTTTTAACTTTTTTTTTCTTTTTTTTTGGAGAGGTTTTCGCTATAGGGCGCATGCGCTCGCCAGACAGACAGAGAGACATAGAGAAGGAAAGCAAGAAATCACCCCCCAGGGGGGATGGTCACGCCGCAATCCCTTCTCCTCCATTCTCCTCTCAGGATCTTGGGCACGCACGCACACGCGCCTGGTGTGAGTTCTAAGCCACCGGGTCCAGGACGCGAACCGCGGTCGACTACGTGGGAGTCCAGCAACATAGCCATTACACTAACTGCTAGTCCCTTTGTTAACTTTTTATAAGGAGTTAATTTTACCATCTTTTTCTTAAAAAAAGAATTTTTAATACTAATTAAAGTAGTAACTTCATTTTTTAAATGAGATACATATTTTCTAATTTAGTGTATAAGAAGACTTATTTAGAAATATTGAAGCTTTTGTCTGAGAAAATTTTAATTAAGACTACTTTTTGTAATTCTTTTCATGTATCTAAATACTTGCAGGTCAAGGTGTTATAGATGTCATACATAAAGTTAGTTGTGGTGCCCAAAAGGGGTCATCCTCTTTGCTCTTTTTAAGCTGTAGATGTCTTATTTCCTATTTTTTTAAAAAACTCATTTTTAAAGTGGAGAAACTGGCCTGTAGGAATCTAAGGATTTTAATGTGGTGAACTAGTGTGCTGCTTTTTTGAGCATCCCTCCACGAAATGTCACTCTTGTACTGAGATCACTCATCTTATGTGTCTCAGTTCCCTTCAAGAATTTAGTAAACTTGAAGGGGGCCCAAATCGCTTGAGTGGTCAGCTCTTATTTTGCTTTACTGGATGGGCCTGTTATTAATTAGTGGGTTTGGGATTCCCTATAGGGTCACTACTAGTCCTAAAAGGGGGAAATCTTTTTTCCTTCCAGACACTCTCAGTAAGGCTCCCAGTTGCCTAAGGTGTCTACCTGGCAGGGAGCTGAGCAGCTCAGTCTCTTATTTGTCTATGAATAACACAGTTTGGTTTCTCTAGTGTAAACATATAGCAGTCAATTGAAGTAGTTTTAAGAAGGCAAAAGAAGAAGACTCTTTAGAATGCTCTTTTTAAAAATATTTTTTTCTCTTTTTTTTAATAATGAATGTGTTTTCATATATTTTGTTTTTCTAACTACCCACTCAAAGGGGAACAAAATACTATACCTTACTCGGAGAAAGTAAACCACTATCCCTCCCTTGGAGGGGAGCAAACTGCCACCCCTCCTCAGAGGGAAGTAATCCGCCACACCAAACAGACAAATAAACAAAAGACAGATGAACAAGTAAACCAGTTTAGAAATAAAACAGACTGTCTATCAAATTTTGGGAGGTCAGAGATCAAAGGACTTACTGAATCCTCCCTGAGGAGAGGCTTGGAGCTGAAGAGGGCACAAAGGGCCCACTGCTGGTACCAGGCACCGAGTTCGAAGCAACCCCTTGGAAGATCTCCAGTTCATCTCCGGTCCCTTCAAGGTCACCATCTTGTCAACAGAAAATAATTAACTCTAAAAAATAAATGATTAATAATTAATGCGGTTTATTTCTAAGTAGAATATGAGTGACCTAGGCCCAGAGAGGAGGCAAACATGCCTTTCTCGGGGTGATTAGGTACAGGGGTTCCTTTTATATGAATTTTAGAGCGACAAAGTTAGTGAAGAGATTTCTACTGGTCTGGCCCAAAAAGGTGGGACATGTGGAAGCAGGGAGCTTGTAGGCTATAGGTGAGTTCCACAATTTTTAGGCTGATAATTGAAAGAGAAGATCTGTGTCTTGGGAAGAAATTTGTTAAAGAAATGTTAAATCATTTCAAGGAAATGTAGTTATTAATTATTTTATTATTATTTATTTTATTAATTTCAGGAAAGAGAAGTTTCGTGTCTTGGGAAGAGATAAGTAAAAGAACTATACCGCAATCAGTTGAATATACTTCTCAGAGATACTATGCCAGGGACAGGATGTAGGAAGAATCCTGTTAACAGAAAAAATGATCTGTAAATATTTGTAGGTATGACTCCCCCTAGGCCTTCTGTAAAAGACTTTGGAAAAATAGGAAAAAACACTCAGACTTTCGTCCATAATGCCAACTGTTATTACTGATAGTGATAACATAAAAGCTAATTCTTCAAACTGTATATATTGAACAGATTGATATTCTGATATACTGGCTTTATATTCTAGCAGTGATATTGTATCAACTGAATATAGAACCCTCTTAACTATTACAATTTAACAGATCCAATATTCTAGGATACTTTATAATGACTTTCTTTTTTTCTTTTTTATTGCCAGAAGGTGCACCTGCTTGAGAAAGAGAGAGGGCAATGCCCCAATGGAGCGTGGCCATGCTGCAATCCTTTCTCTTCCGTTCTTCCATCCCATTTAGGATGTGAAGCACATACAGGCACCTAGCATGTTTTTCAAGTCACCAGGACACGGATTTAAATGGTGGTCAGCCATGTAAGATCTGGCTCCCTTAACCACTATGCTATAAGACAGGCCCAATGCAAAGACATTCTTTTATGATAACTACACTTAAAACTGTTTAGGACATATCAAGAGCCAGACACTGTAACAGGCACTTTAAACATGTAATCTCATTTAATTTTCATAATACTCTGCAAGGTCGGTATCATTTGCTTCATTATATAGCTGAGGGAATGGAGGCTTTAAGAGGTAAAGTCATTTGCCAAGGATCAGACAGGTGGTAGATGACGTAAATGCAATTCATTCAGAGATATTTGGATTCCAAAGCCCATGTACTTGTTGTCAAGTATTGTTGCATCCTCCAGTGACACTTTATTTATAAGAAACTAAGTATTTTTGAAATAGTTTTTCAAGTGCTATATAGGTCACCATACACAGTAGAGAGTCACCTTCTGAGTTACCCAAGGTATGAGGGATCCTCAAAAAGCTCATAGAAAATGCATATTATGGAAAAAACTATGCATGAGTTCCAACTTTCTTTTGCACCAAAATAAATCTGTTAATTCCACTCTTCCACAAACTTTTTGAAGTCCCATGATATATAATAATATATACCACTTAGTTCTGGCCCAGTTTCCTGGTAAATTCCATTTGGCATTCTTCATCTACATATAACTTCTGATAGTGTGCATATGGACAT